ACCATTTTGGGTTTGGAAACACCTCTTGCACCTCTTTCTCATTCTCAGTTGTCAGCCCAACAAAGTTCACTCTTACATTGAAGGCTGTTAGATCTGTGCAGTGTTTTTGGTTCCTCTTGCTGGAGATAAAACCTAATTACTCGCCATTCAACAAACATGTTGAATGGCGAGTTCATTTATAGGTGCATGAGGGTTAAACAAACGGAGCTCGCTGGAACATCAACGGCTAGATCTTCAAAAAAACACTGACTCAACTGACCCTTACTATAAGGAAGTCAGGCTTGTGTTTTATTTTGATCACACTCTATCCTCCATTACTCACATTTTTGACAGACTGAGTTACAAAACTCACCTGAGTGTGATGTCACAGGCTGAAGGCAGAGCCAGATATTTATACCTTTTTCCTCTCTGTCTGAAGTTAAATCAGAACAAATTTCTCTTGTTTTAAGTCAGTTAGCATAATAAAAATTATTTATATTTGCTAAATGCCAAGAAAATTGGCAAGGACTATTTCTAGAGATTTTTTTTTGTATAACTTTAACATATTAGTCTTAGGGATAATTTTCTTTTAAACTATGAAATGGGTTAAGTGTTTTGGGTTTCCTTCCTCTAACTGAGTCCATTTTGTAGGCCACTTCACTTTCACATTTCTTTTCAGATCAAACTAAAACCTTTACGTAGGACTGACATCAAGTTACGCCAAAACATTGACTTTATTGTCCTTAAGCCACCTTACCTGAATGTTTAGGGTTATTGTCCATCTTGAAGACTGATATGCATCCATTTTTGACTTCCTGTCTTCAGATGTTCCTTCAATATTTCCACATAATCTTCTTTCCTAATGATACCATCTATTTTATGAAGTGTATCAGTTCTTCCTGGATCAAAACAGCCCCACAACATGATGCCGCCACCACCATACTTCACCATTTTGATGGTACAAGAATCCCAATTTTTCCTCCAAATGTAACAATGGTCATTATGGCCAAACGGCTCCACTTTAGTTTCTTCAGACACAGGACATTTCTCAAAAAATGAAGATCTTTGTCCTTACGTTTCTTTGGCTTCTTCTTTGCTCAGCGGCCTTTCAGCCCATTTCAATACAGGACAAGTTTTACTATATTAGACAACAATTATCCCTGATACTGATGATTTATATACAAGGTTCTGAATTCAAAGAAAGTTATGAAAAAATTTCAAATAACCTTTCTAAGTTTTTACAGAGTTGGTAAATCGGAGAATTTTTGGTAATTCTAATTAAGCTAAAACAAAAGAAGTTTGGTTTGATTTAACTTCAAACAGAGAGAAAAGAAAACCATTTTGTGTCTTATTACATGTGTAAATATATGTTAATTAATAAGGTTTTCATAATGCTTATTCTCAAGATTTGAGATGTAAAACCTCAAATCTATTACACATCACTTCACGTCGCTCTGCTACTTTGTATTTTATTGCTAAGTACTGAAGCACTTTTCTGCTGCCAACAGGAACATACCATTACTCATCATAACAATAAAACCAGTTATTTTTCTGGCTAAACATTCCTGCTAATAAAATCTAATTCTATGAAGCGACGCATGACAGCTCAATGGAACAGCTCACTTTTTTCCAGTTGGGTATTTCCTGATAAACGCCACTGGACAAGTCAATCCTGTATTTATTTAAAAATAACAACAAACAAATAACTTAGGCAAACGTCACATGAACTTCTCCTTTACAGAAACGGTGAACTTTACAGAACAGTTAATAAACAGGATTATGGTTCTGACTTGTTCTTGTTTTTACAAAGCTTAGACAAACCCACGCTTTGCAGCGAAGATATGTTGATTTAAAACTTGTTTTCCCACTGCACTGTGCTTTGAACGCAGATTTTTAAATGTTTCCATTTATTTTACAGTGAAGAAAAATGTCAAGAATTTTTGACTGTTATGAAATGTTTAATGACAAGTTTGAACAGAAATGCCAAGTCTGAGCAATGCTACAGTAAATTTAACGAGATTCTTCCTCCATCCTCCACTAAATTTGGTGAGGTGTGCTGAGGAAACGTGCATGACAAAATCTAGGGGCCACCTCCAGTTCACAATAAGGAAGCGCTTTAAAAAAACACTTCCTCAGAAGTGATTGTGAAACAAACATCAGCTGTCATTGTGGGTTTCCTCCAGCATGTTTTCACACTCCGCCGGCAGCTTCGCAGAGAGCAACTTCTCTAAAAGCAGAGGATGAACGAAGCTTTGTGGTGGTGAGTCTTTAAAATTAAGCTTAACAGATTATTTGTGTTTGTGTTGCTGCTCTTATTGTTTATGAATCTGATGAGTATTTTGGCTGATTTTAAAGGTATGATGGAATAATAAGCATCTCTCTTAGCTGTTTCTTGTTATAATTCCTAAGTTGTGCTTTAAAGCACTTTGAACTGCCTTTGCTGAAAATGTGCTATATAAATAAAATTTTGGTATTTTAAGGTACAAAAATGACAATAGTTTATATCAGTAACAAAACATAACAAAGTCAAGCAAAAGAAAATTTTTCCAAATCAGTTAATTTAATAAAAACGTATAAAACTTTAACAAAAACTGCAGGTGTGTGTCTGTGTCTGGTGAATTTTTGGCTAAAAAGTGTTTGTTTTAAATTTTACTCAAGTAAGAGTAAAAATACTTCATAGTAAAATTACTTGAGTAAAAGTAAAAAGTACAGCAGAGTAAAAATACTCCTGAAAGTACTTTTTATTATTAATAAAAGGTTACTGACGTAGATGTAACTGAGTAACTGTAAGTAGTTTGTGCCCAGCTGTTTATGTCACCGTGATCCTGCAGCAGCAGACTGAACCGAACAGCATGACCTTAAAAGGAATCCCCTCTTCAAACCTGCTGCTCTAATTCCTCCCAGCACCGTGTTCATCTTTTTCACTGAGGAGATGCTGAACTCTCACTCTGCTCTCTGTGCCTTTTATTACACAAAAACATTGGACATACTCCTACCTGTCTGGATTCATTTTTTTAAAATGTGTTTTTCAGATTTTATTCTGATTTATTTGTAAAGAAGACGGCAGCGATGACGGCGGTCAGCAGATACAGGTTTCTTTACAACAGACTGAACGGGGATTTGAAGCAGAGACGATCTGTTTGCCTCCAGAGTCGCCTCATTTCACCAAACTTCTTCAGGTACGGAAAACAGACGCAAAATAAAATCTGTTACAAACCGAGCATCTCAACAGACCCGAGCAGCGACTAACGACTATTTTAGTGTCAGATTATTCTGATGATTATCAGACAAAAAATTGCAGATTTTTCACTTAAACTAGTTAGGATTTTTATGTCCAATTAGAAATACGTTACACAATGCAAATAATGATTATCCTATTTTAAAGAAGATAATAAGCATTTTATTGCTTAAAATGCAATCGTACAGCATTGAATTTGAATCAGGTGAAACTAAAACAATGACACTTGAGTTTTTACAGAAAAAGGTGTTATCTTAAATGCAAAATGTAAATACGATAAATAAGATTTTTACGCTTAAACAGGAAAAACATCTTGTGAAATGGTCTGCCAGTGGAATTACTTTTTAAAAGTATATATTCAGGAATTATTAACTTAAAACAAGCGTATTTATCTTGTTGAATAGTTTGAAGTTAGTTTTGTCCTAATTCAAGTGCACTAAAATATTTGAATTACAAACTACATTTAGTAAGAGAAGTAAAACAAATCAGATACTCACTGAAAGACATCTGATATGTCAGTCAACAGCTTTATAATTCTATTTTATAAATATTTCTTGTTGTGTGAGGATTATTTTTATTATTTTCCAGTTTTAATAAGTTTGAAACCATCAAATCTACAGTGAACACAAAGAAAACTGCATCTGCAGCCTTCAATGACTGCAGGTGGCCTTAATTTGAATGTGCAGCAAATCCTGCGGCTTCCTGCAGACGCACGTCCTGGTGACGTCAGACGTTTGCATCTTATCGGTCACGGGGTTAGCCCCGCCCCCTGCGGTTTAACTGCCGCTCATTGAACTTGAGTGGCTCACCGAGATAAAAGCAGTTTTTGCATTTATTAAACAAAGCAGCTCTGTGCAGAGATCGTGTTACGAGTGTGTCCATGGCACACTTTGGAAATAAATGTTCTTTTACCTGATTTTATGAATTATTTTCATTTTCATCTTTAAAATACCAAAAATTCCATTATTTATTTCTATATGTTTGATCTATCTGATGGTTTTATTTTTAAATATTAATTAAATTATAAATTTTTTAATCAGTTAATACTCAAGTCACCTTTTACCAAATACTTTTTTACTCCTGAGTAATTTCTTGCAAGGCTACTTTTTATTTGAACTTGAGTAAAAATATGTAATGCTACTCTTTCTTGAGTACTCCACCTCACTTCTGCGTAATTTGAATGAATGATTTTTATGGAGGTAAAATGTAGTCATAAAGTGTGTTCAAATGAACAAAAATAAATAAAACTGAAAAATTATTTTGAAGCTAAAAAAAATGTTAAAACTGATTTTTAAAAAATGAAACTGAAAATAAAAATTATACTGAAAAAATTTTTTCAAACTGAACAAAATTTGCAACTGAAAACACGGTTGTTTTCAGTTGAAAACAACTGAAAAAATATGTTTTGACACTGAAAAATGTTTTAAATACTTTTAAGATGTCAGATTTTTTCTCCAGTTTTTGATTTTTTTCTTTTCAGTTAAAAAAATCTGAAAATGTTTTTTTTTCAGTGTCAAATTATCTTTTTTTTAAGATATGGGGAAAAAACTGGAAACAAAAAAGTTAAAAACTACTTTCCAGTTTCAGATTTTCTTTAGTTCAGAACTAAAAATAAATAAATAAAAACACTGAAACAAAAATCCACTAAAATCTTAAAAGTAGTTTTGATTTTTTTTCCAGTTTCAAACTGTACTTTACAGTTTCTATATATATATTCCATTTCAAATCGTTTTTTCCATTTCATTGTTATTATTTTTTTCATTTGAACAAACTTTATGGCCCCAATGTAGCTCCATAAAATAGATCAAATACCCCTTGCCTCGGTATTTTGTGACCATTTTCAAAGTTTATGTCATTCTGGTAAATACTTTTACGCTTACAAGTCAATGTGGACTGAAAAAAAGTTGTTTTGACTTTTTTTAAAACACGACACCAATCACTGAATGTGTTATTTTTAAGCTTGTGGTTTGTTCTGGAACGAAAAAGCAGCAGCATTATCTTCATAGCCGTCTGTCTTATCTCCCTGGATGTCTTTGACATATAAGGCTGCAGCCGTCAACCCGCAGCCTGACGCTTCTTTCCCAAAATAATCCGACAGCAGCTGCGCCCTGTGCGGCGCGACGCTGCGACATATCCGCTGCCAACAATGACCAAATTCAACTACGCCGATTATTTATCGCAGTTCCGAAACGCTGGACGTAAATGCGGAGATGATCCGCGGCGCGGAGGATCTCCAGAACCCCCGGAGTGAGTCTTTGTTTGAGTGGATGATGCGTTTATGGTGGCTCGGTGTTTGCGGTTGCTGTCCTGAAACACAACGCGCATCACAAACATGACAGCGTTTTCTCGTCATCTTGACGGAATAAGAGGGATTTATGTAAAATCCTGAAGGTTGTTGTTTTAATTTCCATCTGTAATCATAATTTTCTGGTGTTCCCAATCCTTTAGGGATGCTGACCCGGTGTTTTCTGCCGTGAGGCGCGGAGATGTGGAAACCCTGAAGGAACTGGCAGCATCTTCCTCCCACAGCCTGCTGAAGGAAAACAAAGACGGGTGGCTTCCTCTGCATGATGCTGCCTATTCTGGCCAGACGGGGTGCCTCGAGACTCTGTTGAAAGGTAAAAACATAAATATAAATCCAATTTAAACCCTTTTCTCCACATTCCCAGAAATTAAGACTTAATTTATTAAAAATGGGAGACTTATTGCTATGGAGTAGATGAAGGCTATGGAGTGCAGTAAAAAAAAAATTAACAGCAATAATTGTATTCCTTTAGCCTGTGATAAAGAAAACAATGTGGGTGTTCACTTTTCAAAGTCATATTTTCACCATGTTATTAACATATTCCTAAATATATTAATAAAATGTCTGAGTTCCCAACTAAATATTTAAGTCACAAGCTAAAAATTTAGCTTGCCTGCTAAATATTTAGTTAGCAATTTAAATAATAAAGTAAACAAGGAAAAAACAAAACAAACCAGTAGAAGCACCTGAAACATATAAATGACTGTATTCAGTATGAACCATTTTAAGGTTTTCCCATATATTTAGTTTAATCTCTCTGGTTATACCAGCTCTATTTATAAAGCACTTTAAAAACAACACTGTTGACCAAAGTCCTGTACACCATAACCAGAAATAAAAACAAACAATACAAATGCAACAACAGGAGAAAAGGTCAGCTTTAAGAGAAAACTATTATTAGCAAGCAGTTTCTGGATGGTAAGTCAACAACAAAACACTTCTCTTTTCCAGCAGCCATTGTACAGTGCATACAGAGGTTAAACCAGCTGACCAAGCATGCTGGAACTCTCTTTGGATGCCAGATAACGGGTTGGACTTGGCTGGGGTTGCTAGGTAATGGTGCAGTGCCCCTGGAATGTAACTTAACAATCAGGAAGTTTCCAGCCACAAAAAAACATGAATTTATTGTTTAATAAAATCAACTGGGTGTTTCTTAAGTGCTTGAACTGTTTTTAGAAGCAGTTTAGACCCAAATAGAAGTATATAAAACATGCTAAATGTGAATTTTGAATAACGGATGCCCTTTAAAGAAACTGAATTTAGCCAGTGTTGAACCTATGGTAAAACTCAGATCCAGTAAACTTTGTTAAACTGTTTTCTAAATGCTTACAGTTGCTTTGTGGATGTTTTCCTTTCTGCTGCAGCCCATCCAGGCTCAGTGGACAAGCGGACGCTGCAGGAGCAGACTGCGTTGCTGCTGGCCGTGTCCTGTGAACAGCTGCCCTGCGTCCAGTCTCTTCTGGAGTCAGGCGCCGACCCCGACATCTGCAGCAGCAACAAAGAGACTCCTTTGAATAAAGGTACAGCTGTGAAATCAGAGCTGCTAAGAAGTGTGATGACGTACGCGGGTGTGTGTGTGAAATGCTGAGTTCTCTGTCTTTACAGCTTGTGAACTGGAAAATATGAACATGGTGAACATTCTTCTGTCTCACGGTGCCTCTGTGAACCAGCGGTGCAGTCAGGGCTGGACGGCCCTCCATGAGGCCGTTTCCAGAGAAAACACGGAGATCTGTGAGGTTCTGATCCGAGCCGGAGCCACAATCAATCCAGCAAACACCTACAGCATCACACCGCTCACTGTAGCAGCTCAGCGAGGCCTGAAGAGGGCGCTGTGCTACCTCACTGAGAGAGGTAGCTGCTGAAGAAAACAGTCACTGATTTCATTCTTACAAACCATATTAGGGTCATTGTACATAGAAAAGAAAGGAGTACATTCCTGCCAAAAATATAGTAAATTCTGAGATTAATCTGAGAAATTTCCCCAAAAAACAAGGACATTTCTGAGTTTGCAAGGTCTAAAATTTTCATAAATTCAGAAATTGAGATGATATAATTTCAGAAATTTTCTAGAAAAAAATTAAATGTCTGAATTCAAAAAGTTAAAACTTAACATTAATCTCAGAAATGTTCTAGAAAAAAACAGGAACAATTGTGAGAAAAAAATCTCTGAAATTTTTAGATTAATCTCAAAAACATTTCTAGAAAAGCAAGAAAATTTCTCTGTATGGAAAGTCATTTTGTAGAAAAATTCAGAAATCTTTAGATTAATTTCAGAAATTTTCTAGAAAAAACACAACCATTTCTGAGGTCCAAAAGTTTAAAATTTTGTGAGAAAAACTCAGAAATTTTCATATTAACTTTGGAAATGTCCTAGGAAAAAAGAGTTAGACCTCAAATTTTCTCAGCTTTTTCTAGTAAATTTCAGACTTTTCAAAGTCAGAAATTTTCTTTTTTTTCTGAGATTATTTTTAACATTTCTTTGTTTTTTGGCAGAATTTTCTGAGTTTATCAATCTGCAATGGTCCTAATACACTGCCATGCATTTTAAATCCTATAAAAAGTGTTGCTGTTTTTTCAGGTGCAGATGTGAACATGCAGACATGTGATGGTGTCACAGCGCTGCATGAAGCCAGTAGGAACGGACACCAGGAAGTTGTTGCTTTACTCCTCTCTAAAAATGCAGATGCCAACATTTCTGATAACTCTGGGCTGCTGCCTCTGCACGTTGCTGCCCAGTCTGGACACCATGAGTGAGTCTGCATGTCACTTACTTTAATACAAACCAGCAGGTTTAGAGGGAACGGTGTGACCTTGCTTATTTTATCTATTTAATTTCAAATATCAACATAGCGTCCAGTTCAGATTTTCTCATTAACTTTTTTATATCAAGTTAAATTTTTGTTACTTTCCCCCTTTTGTTATTCCATTTTTATTCTTCTTTAAAATAGATAAAACAATAATATGTGATTTGTGTAGTTCATTGACCTGAATTTACAGTCAAATTTGCAGTGAACAGTCAAAAATATGCTAGAACAAATTCAGAAATATTCTAGAATTTTTTTTGTATTTTTTTTTTGTCTAAAAAGTAAAAATACATCACAAGAAAATAACTCAGAAATTTTTAGATTAATCAAAAAAAAATTTGGAAAAGAAACGTGGACATTTTTTGTTTGAAAAGTAAAAAAAAATGCTAGAAAAAAACGCAGAAATTTTTGAAACTCAAATTTCCTATGTGTTTTTCTAGAAAATGTATGATAAATCACAAAATACGAGTTTCAAAAGTTGAAATTTTGCTATAAAAACTGAAATTTTCTAGAAAATAAGAAACTGTCTAAATTTGCTAGGAAAAACTTTTAGAAATTTCCATGATTTTCTCTTGAACATTTCTGAGTTGAATCTCAAAACTAAGTATTTTGGCGGAAATTTCCTCCTGTTTTTCTTCTGCTATCTAGCAGTAGTTTATTACAGGTTCTGTGATCACACGTTGTTTTCAGGATTGTTTCTCTACTGGTCTCCGCTACAAGCCGCGCCAAGCTGCGCCACAGCTGGATCAGCCCGCTGCACCTGGCAGCGCAGCATGACCGCCACGCAGCGGCCGCCGCACTGCTGAAAACGGGCGCAGACGTGAACGCCATTCTGGCGCACAGCCGCTCCGTCCAGTACGAGGACCGACGCGCCACCGCTCTCTACTTCGCCGTCGCCCACCGCAGCAAGAGGACGGCAGAAGTGCTGGTGAACGCCGGCGCAAACCTGAGCCTGGATCCGGTCAGCCCTCTGCTGATGGCGGTGCGTCAGGGCTGCGTCAGCACTGTGACGCTGCTGCTGGAGCGAGGCGCGGACCTGAACGCCACGCTCCCGTCTTTGGCGACCACATTCCCAGCTCTGATTGCGCTCAGCAGGAATAATCTAGCTGTGCTGAAGTGCCTTTTGGACCACGGCTGTGACACACAGGCCTGTTTCACCTGTACGCACAGTGCTGCGCCCCACCCTCCATCCGGAGGATCCGACATAAGAACTGCTGGCGGCCATGACCGTCTACCTCCTTTAAGCTGTGATGAAAGGCCAGAGCGGGCGACACAGGTGGGAAAACCAACAACCACATTTCACAATGACAATATAGGCAGAAGTATGAACTTATTTAATTCTGTTACGTCTGTCTTCCGGTCTTTCTGTCTTCAGCTACGTCTGTCTTCTGGTCTTTCTGTCTTTGGCTGTCTTCTACTTCTGTCTCCAGCTTTTTTTAAAGCCACTGTGTGTGTCCCCAGATTTCCACACAAATAGATGAAACAGAATCAGTAGAGATCATGGTTTTGGGTTTTTCATGAAGATTGTTTTGCTTTTTTATGGTTTTCAGTTCTGCGAGTGGATCTCAACCCCAGCTATGTGTAAATGGGCCGGCCCGGTCGTAGACCTGCTGCTGGAGTATGTCGGCCATGTTCAGCTTTGCAGCCAACTCTCTGCGCTCCTGGACAGCAGAGACGAATGGCGCGCCATCAAAAGGAAGTCATGTAGGTGCCAGATAAAAATCAGTGCAAGGAAACACTTTGCTTTCATTTCCTCATAGAAAAACACTTTACTTTTTTTAAACAATCGTTCTTATCTTGTCTTCCAGTGTCACCACGTCCACTTCAGCACCTTTGCAGATTAAGGATTTGGACTCAGATGGGGAGAAACAGGAAATCTGTTACAAGTTTGCCTCTGCCAAACAGACTAAAAACATATCTGAGTCCTGATGGCTGATTTCAAACAGATAAACCTCAGATTTTAGTCTTTTTATGCACCACTATATTTATCTTCCTTTTTCTTTTTTTAGTCGCATCTTCAATCTGTTATGTTTAAATATCTATTTATACTTGAAGCGATGTGACAGCAAGGCCTTTTAATCTGTCATTTACGTTGTGCTTTTAAGAGACCTTCAGAGACGGCTGCCAAAAGGATTTCTTGAGGGAATTTGAGTCTTTTATGTATCATTTTTTATAAATCATTTTGGCAAACATTACCTGACAAAGACAGATTTTTGTTGTTAAAAGGGGAAACTGTGACAGCACACAAGTACAAAAAACATTTTCTTTCTCTGTGGATACAGAGTGAAAATAAACATAAAGGTGAAGCTGATTACTTTATTGGAAAAGTGCAATTTATTCCTTTAGGCTTAAACATCACAAATAGATGCAGCATTCTAGTAAGTGCTTAACGAAGTGTCCCGTTTCCAAAATACAAGAGAAAAATTATAAACACGCCACATAGCTCACAGTTTCACCTTCCCAGGTGTGGGGTGGCGTTTGTAAAGATACAAAGTCAAAAATTAACAGCAATAATTTGGGTTATTCAGCCTAACAGGAAAAATGGAGGTTCATTTTCCAAAAGTTATATTTTCAACATGTTATTCATTCTTTTATGAATGTCAGTTTCAACTAAATATTTTAAAAAATATTTTAGCAAGCTAAATATTTACTTCACAAATAAAGTAAATGTTCATTTATCATATTTGAAGCAAAAATATTTAGCTAAGAAAATTAACTTAAATATTTAGTTAGCAACCTAAATATTTAGCTCTGTTTTTTTTAGTTCTGAATCAATATTTAGCTTCTAACGACATATTTAGCTCCAAACTAAATACTTAGCTTGCTAACTAAAGCTAAATATTTGCCTTGTGAACTAAATATTTAACTCAAAAATAAATATTTAGCTCAGAGTTAAACATTTAGTTAGCAAGTTAAATATCTAGCTTGGCCCAGATTTTATTTTGGCAGACATTTCCATCAATTAGCAAGTTAATTTGAATAAATATTTAACTCTGAGCTAGCTATATACTTATTTCCAAACTTGCTAACTAAATAGCTCAGAGTTAAACATTTAGCTAGCAAGCTATATTTAGCTAGCTCAGGCGTTTACAGAGGAGGTCAGCAAACCCAGCTTTTACTCTGACAGACACTTCCGCCTACTGGCAGGTGAATTTGCATACCAGCTAAATATTTAGCTCTGAGCTAGCTCAATATTTAGTTTGCTGTCTAGCTATTTAGGTCAGACCTAAATAGGTACCTCCGAGCTAGTTAGCTACCAAGATAGCTTTTAAGTATTGAGCTAAATATTTAACTTTCAACTGAATATTTCGCTTTCTAAGTAAATATTTAGCTTGTACACTGAATATTTCATTTAGCTTGAAACAGTAACATTCTAAGTAAATAAAAAAACGTGGCAAAAATGACTAAAAATGAACTTTTTTCACTTGTAACAGGCTAAATGACCCAAATTATTTCTGTAAATGTTTGTCTGTGACTTTACAAACGGCACCGCATCCTCATGTGACGGGCAGATTAAATGAACCCAAACACGCTTAAGATCGGAGACTGCGCCGTGGCCTTGGTCGGTATCGGTTTCACCACAACGTGCGTGTGGAGTTTCTGTCCGTACGGATGCTCGGACCTCTCCGGCTCTGCTGCCTTGCTCCACAGACCAAAGGGAGGATGCGGAACAACAATCTGGCTGTGGAGGACCTGATGTCCTTGGAACTGGAAGGGGCAGCAGCTGCAGAAACTCACGGAGCGATGTGAAGTCAGATCCAGTTTCAGCACTTCTTTTTCCGCAGAGCTGCGCCTGCCGGATGAGGAGTTTGCGGTTTTTTGCGCGTCCTCCTGACTCCTTCTCCTCCTTTCATTCTCGCCGCCATCAGATGTCCCCGAGCTGCTGCTTCTTCTCAAATCCAAACAGGGTTTGTCTCTCCTGGCTTTGGTTAGCCTGGGTTCCTCCCAAAACGACGCTGGTAGTTGTCGTTTCCGCATCGGCACCTGGTCCATTACGCCGCCTACGCTCTGCGCAAGTTGCGCATCGGAGCTGGCCTCATCCGTCGCGGTCACCCTTTGACGCTCAGCTCCTCTGGCGCACCTGTAGTCCGCAGAAGTGAGAGTCTGACCTCTCGGGACTCTGGAGAACTTCTGTGAGAAGCGCTTGAGTTGCTTCTGTAGGTATTTCCGGTGATCCACGGAGCGCCTGCAGGGAGCCGACTTATCCAGAGCCGCCTTGATGTCGCTGGATGCCAAATTTACAAAGTTGAGTAAAGTTTTAACTTCGCTGTCTGCACTTGACATCTTTACCAGAAGCTCCTTGGCTCACTTCATGAGTCCATTATAGAAATATGAACCATAATCCACCGACACAATCTGTGAAATATCATAAATTAGTTTAGATTTTTGCGTAATTGCGCACCAATAAATCTCCGTTTTTTAAACTCAAGCTCACCGTTTTAATCGAAGCTTCCCTCCAGACTGCAGAGGTACTTCAGGAAGCTGAATGAATATAAACCCTTTGTAGTTATGCTCCTTCCCTTGAACCAATCAGCGACCCCAGACCCATCACAATGCACTCCAATCAGTCTCCAAGCGCCTTGGTATCAAATTCTTCACCAGCGCAAATTGCTGCCATGGAGATCTGGAAAGCCCAGCCCTGGAAACGCGATATTTCCCCCAAAAAACCCGCTTCTCACTCTGCTCCTTTTACGCAAAATAATTCAACATAAATGAAATATATCGTATTGGACATGCTTTAACTTCCTGTTGCACGGGTTAAAGTTGAGGTTTAATGCCTTCCACATGATGTCAGCTGTAGGATTTGGTGGCGGTGGGGGGGATCTAAAGAGCGCATAACCATGGAAAGAGGCTTGAACGCTCAAGAATCTTGTCTTTCTGTTTGCCCCCTCAATCGAGCGACACAAAGGCTGAATTACTCATTCAAACCTGGCGGGACAAAGGGGAAGGAGCTGGATAGCACTCCTGCATTTGTAGTCAAACATTTAGAGACTTAAATCGAGTCGTCATGAAGGAAAAAAGACTCGGACAAAGCCCATAGAATTGCCATCAGCAAACATTTTCCTGTGTCATATTATGGGGTCTCCATGGCTCCCTCTGGCCGGAGGACAATGGCACAAGTTTGCACACTCGAATACTGTCACCCTGCCAACCGCAACAAGGGCCCAAAACAGGACAATCCCCAGAAAAGCATGGGCTCCACGGGGAAGGCTGCGGCGGAGGGGGAACGGGACTTGTGAAATGCTAATTGAGCTTCATCCCTTTATTGAGCTGGGGAAGTGTCGTTCTGCTGGAGCTCAGCGGCTCAGAAAGGAGAGGCGATAACAGAGATTACTTAACCTTAAAAAGCAAAAAGTAAAACATTTTAAGACAATCTCAGAAATATTCTGGAATAAACTTTGATTATTTTTTTAGTTTGAAAAAAAAATCTAAAATTTTCTAGAAAAAAATCTGAAATTTTGAGATTAATCTCTGAAATTTTTCAGAAAAAACTCCAGACTTTGAGTTTGAAAAATAAAAATAAAAATCTAGAACTTCCTCTTCCCCTAAAAAGTTAATCAATTTTAGTTTACATTTTTTATTTCTCTTTTTCTAGACGTTTTCTAGAAAAAAAAAGTTTTTACAAGAAATTATTTCACTTTTCAAACTATAAAATTATTTTCTAGAATTTGTCTTTACATTTGAGAACAGAAATTTACCTTGCTTTTCTAGAAAATCGCTAAGGAAATAAAATTTCTGAGTTTAAAAAGTTGGAAATTTGCTAGAAAAAAATGAAACTTTGAGATCAATCTTAAAAATGTTATACAAATAATTAGGACATTTTTTAGTTGCAAAAGTAATCTTTCGTCTAGGAAACTCATATTTTTATAATAAAGCAAAAAAATATATATCTTAAGAAGGAAATTTGAGTTTCAAAAATCAAAAAACATTTTTTTTAGAAAAGACATGAATATTTCTGATTTTCAAAAGTAAAAAAAATAGTTTGGGTTTTGAATAAAACGAGTTTGTCCATCTTTCAGACAAGTTTTGAGAATCCAGAAATTTTACTCAAGTAAGAGCAAAAAGTAAAAACACTCCGAAAAGTAATTTTTCTCTAAAAAATTACTCAAGTAAATGTAACTTGTTACTATTCATCTCTGCTGATATGCGATGCTGTAATCATGTGATGTGTTTTTAGATCATTTAAATTGGAATAAATGTGTAGTTTACTTTTTTATTTACATTTCAGTAAAAACTTGAAACTCCTTTCCTTCAGTTTTGACTTTAAACTCTCTGGACGGAACCGACTGATGGTTAACATCCTCGTGTTTCTCCAGGAAAACCTGCTGGAAATCGCAGACATACTTCCCGATTTACGGCCGTTTATTTGGAGAACGATTGACTCCTGCGCTGCGTTTAGAGCCGTTGTTCCTCCGGCTGGTTCCTCTGGTTCTGGAGCGGCAGTCGGGGCCTATTGTCCCCATCCTCTGGCTCACCTCTGTTTAACTGAAAAGGCTGGTTAACAATGGGGACCCCCGCCCTCCACCCGCCTGTCACCCACTGTTGTGCTTTTGAAGTGAGGAAGAAAGAGGAAGAGGAAGCTCATCCAGCATCCATCCGTGGTTCTGGATACAATGTTTGTGGCTCATTTTAGGCTATTCTTGGTTTGAGTTTCAGAACTTTTTACACTTTTACACAGATTTTATTCCAGCTCTAGATGACCTGCACTGCAAAAAGACAAAACTTTACCAAGAATTTTCGTTTATTTTCTAATACAAATATCTGAGTTCACTTGAAATCAGACAAAACTAACTTATAAGTAACTTTTCAGCAAGACATAAGAGCTTATTGTAAGTCACTCTTAAGACATTTTCCCCGTGTTATAAGTGAAATAATCTGTCAGAGGGACTAGTAATTTCTCATTAATATTAGCGAATTATTAACTTAAAGCAAACTCCTATGTCTTACTGAAAAGTTACTTCTAAGTTAGTTTTGTCTTATTTCAAGTGAACTAAGATGTTTCCACATCATTTATTTATTCCACGTCATTATTTTTATTTTTTCATTTAAAGCACTAAAAATAAAACAGAATTAAATTAACATAATGTGATTTACTCTCCTGTGGTTTTATATGTAAACATTCAAGTAAAAACAAATAAATTCTGAAAATTAAACAGAATATTTTATGATCTTAGTGCTTTGTTGATGGAGTTGGATATTTTAATGCAGATTGAAGCCTCTGTGTGTTTCAGAGCTGGTGGCCTATATGAGATATTTAAAGCACATAATGTTGCTTTGTTTAGACTTTTTCTGTGTCAGTCAACCGTCTGACAAACGACTAAATATAGAAACCTGAGGAGAAGTCTTAAACCTTCTTGTTTTTCCTTTCAAGCAGCTACTTTATAAACAAGAAAGAGTCACTTTACATTTTAAACAGATGTTTTTGGAGGTCAGACTTCAACATGCAAGTCTGTGTTTTATTTTGTATGGAGACGAGTTTCAAATACGGGCTGTAACTAACGTTTTAGTAATTGATTATTCTGACAATCAATTAATTTGATTTTTAAAAATGGATAATTCGATGGATTTTTCATAGAACCACTTAAGCTTATTCAATATATTAGAAATGCATTTAAAAATATTGTAAATATTTAACAAAAAAGTATATTCTATAAAAATATATATTTTTATATTTTAAAATAAAAATATTAAAAATAATATTTTGTTTTTATTCTAAAAGTAATATTTTAACATAATATTTTTATTAAAACATTATTTTTAATAAAACATATTAAATAATAAAGTTAATGCAAACTTTCTAAAAATATTTTAAAAATATTTTTTAAACTGAAAATATTAAATTTTTTAAAAAATATTATTGAAAATATATTTCTAGTATTAGAGTTTTTTTATTTGTTTGTCTTTTTTTACATAAGCAAATCAAAGCCAATTGAGGAGTTTTGACCAGAACATTTTACAGACAAAAGAGTTTGTTTTTTTGTTTGTTTGTTTTGTTTTTCTTCTCTTAATTTCACAATGTTTATATTTTCTGTACAGTTTTGGCTTAACTAGTGCACTGAAAATATTGTTTTTCAGTAAATTGGCTTTTTTATGTGTATACTCCACATTAACAATTAATCTATTATTAAATTAATCTGATTCATTTCAGCTGTTGTAAATTTTAAAAAATGCAGTTCCTGGTGAGAAATTAGATGAGACGGCCAGTGGAACCAGAACTTTTTCATCAATATTAAGGAATTACTTAAAATGAGCTCATATTTCTAGCTAAAAATCTACTTGTAAGTTAGTTTTGTATCATTTCAAGTGTATTAAGATATTTGCTAGAAACTAAACCAAAAATACTTGGTAAGATTTTGTGGTTTTGCAGTTTACGTAGTCACAGTCCTATTTCCTGCTTCACACTTTTCACTAGATGGCAGTGTACTTCCACTGCTTTCTGACCTACTGCACATGTTCAACCAGATCCAATAATGTTCACACACACTGATATAATAAGAGAGAAACACAGATAGAAAAGATAAAGGCAGCTGTGCTAATCTTAGCCGAACATTATTATTCTGCGGCTGACTGAGGGATGTAAAATCTTTTTCATTTCATGCACTCGGCATTTTCAGGCTTTGTTTGCGAAGAGATGCAGATTAACTATCTTGGCAAGAAAGATAACAGTGAAAGACCACAGTAATTATATAAAGAGGCTTCCCTATCAGTTTATACGGCCGTGATGTATGTTGTGCCAGACTGCTGGTTGTTGGAATGAGGTGAGGTAGCAGGAAGGAAACAGGAGGATGTAGAGCTTTCCTCTTGTCAGATAATCAATACTGGGACTGACTGCTGGAGAGGATGGATGAGCAGGAGCCGCAGACTATATGCCAAGCTTGTTCTATCCTTCAAAACTCTGAAAAAGCTCTGCAAATGCAGCCCAACATGCAGTGGCCGAGGATTTTCCACTCTAAAAGTCATCCACAGCTCTTTGTATGAGCTCATCCCATTACTGTCTGTGAAGTGCTTTTTGATAGGCAAGACATGTGATGAATACTCAGCCACAACAAAAGGCTGCAGGGCTGGTTGCTGAATTCACTGATCTTAATCCAAACCGGTTTGAATCGTAGGCTTAGATGTTATTTAAATTATTTGGACTGAGCAGACTCGGTTGGCTCCCGTTTCAAATATTTAAACCCCCAGGAGAGGAGAGAGGACATTAAACTGCAACTTATTATTGAAGATGTGCGAAAATGTTCATTTTCTAACACTCAGCGGGGAAGGAGGAGAATTTCTGTTTATTGTTTGCTTTAAAAAAGGCAGAAAAATCTCATATTTTTACAAGTTTCTGGTGGAGGATCAGGGTTTTATTCTCGTTGTCAATCAGGCGTTTGAATGTCACGTTGGCTCTCTGGTACCGTGTATGACTGGGGGCTAATTTCATAACCGTGCCCAGAGAAGACCACCAACAACATTATGCAACTCCACTCTTAAAATCCACCCATTGTTGTCTCATATCTTCCACTCTGCCCCACAGCATCACCCACTATTAACTACAGCCAAACCACAAATTTACATACAGCACAGAAAAAAGAAAACCTTTCATTCCCACTGTCTGTCTGCGTGTTATCTTTAATGAGTTAATCTAAAGTTCCCTGCTCTAATCGATCGACTCGTTTTTATCTTGTATCAAAAGGTCCAAACTTCTTTCCATGGCATTAAGAAATACATGTTCAACTGCTGAATGCTAAAAAAGAAGCTAATTATTATATTAGAATATCTTTTTCTGTCATATGTGTTAAATACTCATTAACAGAAAATTATCGATTTTGACATCAGGCAGCGCTGAAAACCAACCGTTTATTGGCGTCATGTATTTTTATCCGCCTTTCTGTCATCACCTTCATAGCAAATCAGTATTTTTTAAAATGAGAAATTAACTCTACTCTGCCATACTATTAAATTACTAACTTAAGAAACTTATCAAGTGTTTATATTTCAAAACAGAACAGCATAAACAGAATTTTTCATCCCAAACCAGACTCTATTTGGACCTTACCTCTTCGCCGATGTGGTAGAGGGCCGCCATCTTTGTTTGTGTACCAACGGCTGCAGTTAAGAATGACGAGCGGCGCCCTCTGCCGGATGGCGGCCAAACTACAACACTAAAAAAAAGATCTAATGAACGTTGTTAATCGATTGGAACTTATTTTAATCTAATAAACCATTAATCGACTATCTTATGGATCATGTGCTAAATGTCAGAATAATTAGAGATATTTTTATTTTGAAATATAATTTAGAAGTTTGCATCCAATAAGATTACTTTTGGAAAGCCCAAATAAAAAATTTCCTTTTGGTTATTTCATAGCTTTGGAGGCGTGTTTTGAGGTTTGATGAAAGTAAGGTTAGAGTGTTTGACTATAATGCCCGGGGATATGTTCAGATAGACACTAGGTGGCGCTAGAGTGCCTTCTCTGTTTTATTGTACTTTATTTTTATAGTGTATTGAGCGGAATACAGTGCAGAATTGCTTAAGGCAGTGGCCAGATTACACATTTGTTACATTTAGAGGAAAACAAGGAAAATTGCACCCCAAACATCAAAGTCAGTGGCAGCATCATGTTGTTGTTTTCCTGCAATTAAAGCAGCAGTGATATTTATTTTTAAAAATGTTGTTTTTTTATATTTGTTAAAACTGTCACTATGTTGTGATGGTCTAATATAGATAAAAAAGAGCTCCTCTACTTTCTCCCAGTGCTAACTAGAAACAACCAATCAGAGTCAGGAGGCGGGTCTTAGTGCTATCAATCTCCACTCTACAGCTAGCAAAGCCTGTTGTAAATGCTAAAGCTAATTAGCTTCCAATGACGGCAGATATCCAGGAAGATTTCTCTGCCATTCGCACATTTAGCAACAAGTACATGAGATTGATTGACAGGTCCTCCTTCTGGCTCTGATTGTTTGTTTTTGGTACATTTTTCAGAGTAAAAGTTGCGAAGAAGAGATCTGATGGAAAAGATTCTTCGGCAATTATGCTGCCGACAAAATGAAGAACACCGTCCAGAAGAAGCTTGCTCCTAAACTTTGGGAAGATGTAAGGACATAGATTTTGTCTTTTTTGATGAGATGGGGGAAAAAAACTCTGCCAATACATCTTTCAACTTCTGTCTGGCAAAGGCAATACAGTTAAAGAATTGTTGTTTAAGATGATTAAAAGTGACAACCCAATAGTTATCCACAAGGTGATAGAAAGCTTCAAGAGAACCCTTTCACGTCCCAGAAAAATCCATCTAAAGAAAAACCATCTGAAAAAAAGACCATCTTAAAAAGGCCTGGAGGTGGATTAAACATGCTGTCTGCTGAGGAGACGATTCAGACGACAGTCAGATTCAAGGACCCTCTCACTATGACTCGAGACTGGACTCTGACTCGGAACCGGACTATGACTCGGAACCGGACTATGACTCAAAACTGGACTCTGACTCAGAACCGGACTATGACTCAAAACTGGACTCTGACTCAGAACCGGACTAGGACTCAAAACTGGACTCTGACTCAGAACCGGACTAGGACTCAAAACTGGACTCTGACTCGGGACTGGCCTCCGAGTTTGAACCGGACTCCTCTCAGTTTGATCCGGCCTCTCAGTTTAGACAGGCCTCCGAGTCGGGACCTGCCTCCGAGTCGGAATCATCCTTTGAATTGGGACCGGTCTCTGAGTCTGGACCCAGCAACACAGGTAACACATGGAACACCAAGGAACAAGATATGCAGTGATAGAATAGACGAGGACCCGACAAGGAATAAAGACAACAGGTGGATTTAAATACACAGGGAAGGTAATCAGGAAACTAGACACACCTGGGAAACAATCAACAGGGAAGACAGGACAGGACACGTCCCTCCTGACCCATCCTCTCCTAAGTGAAATTAAAGCTGCAGTATGTAACTTTTATAAAAATATTTTTTTTTCACATATGTCATTATGTTGTGACAGTATGGTATGAGAGGTAATCTGTGAAAAATCTATTTCCTCTGCCTTCTCTCAGTGCTAGAAACAGCCAATCAGAGGCAGGAGTTTTAGTGCTGTCAATCACAAGCTCATGTGGTGCTTCTCATCCTTCCTCCCCCTCGATTTGTGCCATGCTGCAGCTAGCATAGCACAGAGCTGTGCAGATTCTAACTGTGAATGCTCAGTTTAGTTAGCATACCTACCAATGACGGCAGATAAACGGTTTCTTGTAATGATAAGTTGTTTCTCCCCCATTAGTACATTTAGCAGTGAGTGAATGAGGATTATTGACAGCTCTAAGAGCGTCCTACTGGTTCTGACTGGTTGTTTTGGTCAGAATGGTGCAGTACTTTAACCAAGTAATTCAGGAAGGAGATGGAGGAGACTGATCTTTTCACAGATTATCTGTCTCATAACAAACGCTACGACAGTCTAATTTTTTGTCAGGGGGCCAGATTTTGTCAGATTTCTGGCAGTGCCCCTGTCACAAATTATGTTTTATTTTATTCTGTCAAGATATGGTGGCAGTTTTAGCAAATATGTAAAAACAAATGAATAAAAGTTACATCCTGCAGGTTTAATTTGAAGAAAGTCATGTCAGATCCTGCTTTCAGTTTACGGGTAAAAACTGGACTTTAACATTCAAATTTCGATTGAAAAGAAGATGAAACTCCTTTTATTGCTGCAGTTTGAATCACTGTTTATACCGGCCCACTTTTGGGACTTCGCAGCGCAACAACCACGACTTTAACACGCAACATAGACCTTTATGGAGGAGAGAGAGAGAAAGAGAGAGAGCGGAGGGAAAAACATAAACAAAGAAAGAAAGCCTGCGCTGATTGCTTTGCAGCCAACCACAGGAGCTGCTGGCTGTGTTTTGGAGGAGGAGGAGGAGGGTGAGTTCGTGTCAGGGGGAGCTGAGGTGAGTGGAGATGCGCCACTGCCCTCCGGACTCGCCCATCCCGAATCTTGCCTTGAGAAGTTGAGGTGATGCCGCTGCGAGGACCCGTCTCTGTTTTCTTTCACTTCTCGATTTTAACATCCCCCCTCCTCCTTCTCTTTCTCTTCCCCTTCCTCCTCCTCCTCCTCCTCCTCAACTTGGATGGCTTGAGCGGCTCGTCCTGCGCTCTTGCTCGCCGCCGCGGAGAGATGTAAGGTCTGGGCCGTCCACCGCCCTCACACTGCGCGGAGCAGCGGCGTGATTCAGGTCGCTATCTGACAGAAAGAGAGAGAGAGAGAAACAAACACACGCAGAGAGAGATAGGAGGGTTAAAAAAAGAGGAAAAAAACTACTTTGGAGATGTGAATGATCGCGGGTTTGCTGCTCATCCCACCAGCTCGCCTGTCCTATGCGATCGACAGCGGGATGTGAAGAGGAAGATGATTGGGGCATAAACTATTCCCGGAGACGCCTGTCACAGCTACAGCCGCTGAAGTGGAAAGGGTGGATGGTTATTTCGCAAACACTTCAAGCCTATGTATACTACTGCATTCATTTGTTGGAAACGCTTCCTAGTATCTTCGAGAACAGCGCAGGAGGAATGCTGCTCCGAGATCTGATGCCATTTACTTTAAGTTTTTGGCCTTTTTTCATCGCTCACTGCCTCCTGTCACAGCTTTTACTCTCATGCAAGGTAAGCATCGCGTTGAGGTGCATGAAGGGGGGAAGCGGGCTGCACGGATCCAACTGGAGTTGGATGTTTAACTAACTTACGGCGGTCTGTTTATGCTCATCGTGCTGCTGCAGCTGCAGCTCTCCGCATGTGAAAATAGTCTAGTTTTTAAAACACCTTTGGATATTTAGCTTCAATTCTAACATTACAGATTTTTTTTTATTAATGATCATGAATGACGTTTATTCCACATAATAAAAGTAGGTTTTCGCATCTATCGCACATGAGGAGTACAATGTTGCTCTGTATTTTGAAGGAGGTTTTCACTGTTTAACACATTTAGTTTGATGCTCCTTATTCCTGAAGTGAGAATAACACCAGAAAGTCACAATATCAAATTTAAATGGACGATAAATTGCCCCAGAAGTTATAGCGGTAAACGATAATATCGTTGTTTTGAGAGCATTTTCAAGTAATATAATGGTAGTGTCATAATAATGGGGGAAAAACACACATTCTCAAAGGTGAGTAAACTTTAAATTTTAACAAACATTTAACACTGTAACTTGAAGACAATAACAGAAACAACCAATAAAATGAATTATGAAGTCTCTGTAAACAAAAAAGGGCTAGTTGAGTCCAAAGCATCAGACTGAAGAGTTTTGTCATCCAGTTTTTGATAGAAAGAGAGAAAAGAGAAACAATAAATCAACAAAATAGAATTTATTAAGCTTGTTTTGATTTATTATAATTGATTTATTTCAACAAAAGGCTGTCTAAAATAAGGGTGTACCAATAAATCAGCTTTAATTTCCTTAATTTCTGAGGATCAGTGATCGATCGATACCTACATGTGAAGCTGATATTATCAACCATTATTATTTAACTTGGCAAAACGTCTAAAATTAATCCACTGTCCTCTTTTTGCTCTGCTGTGAGAAAAGTTTGACTAGACCACTTGCACAAATATTAAAACATAAGAAAAACATGATTTTATTAGAAAAGCTTGGTTAAAAAAAGATGAATACTTTGTGTTGTGCTAAACTTTTTGCACTGACAGAAAATTATGTTGGCAATAGGGCCGAAACGATTAATCGAGTTAATCGTGATTATTGAATCGATTAATTGGTATCAGTCAAAACTGGAATCGGCAGGTCAAGCTTGTTAAAGATTGGTAATTGACCAGAAAGGTGCAATCGGTGCACCGATAGTTAAAGAGAAGACAAATAGGTCTCAAAAGAACTTAAAATCAGGTTTTCTTATGTTCAGAAAATAAGAGGACAATCAGAATCACTGCTATCGCAGCTACATCTGGCCATCCAAGCAAGTTAACCTCAAAAGCAGGCCGCAACATGCCAAAAGAAGTTAAACCTAAAATGTTATCAGGCTCTTGCTACTGTCAAGCTAAGTTTACGTTTTATGGCAGAGATGAAAGTTAAAGGGACAGAGGACATGTTTGATGTAAACAAAAATTCAGCAAACAAAAATAACCTCGACTCAGCTGGGCGATCTGACCAGCTTCAGAGAACTATTGTGAGTTTTATCGAGTATCAGAAGGTGAACCATTTGTAAAAAGAAAAAAAAAAAGAATAGAAAAGAAAGAAAACTAAAGTGGAAGTGGACCCTGAAATATGATAGCAAACCAAAATATTTCTATAAATACTCTAAGAACTGGTGAGAATAAAGAAATGTAAAGTCCTGGGATGGAGATTTGGAGATTTGAAACAACCTGAATGCCTCAAACATCTCATGGCTGAAAGTGAGAAGAGTTAAAAACTTTCCTCAGACTGACTGACGTCAAAGACTGGCTGCAAGAAGCATCTCACTGAAATTATTCCTGTCATTTCAGTTACTTTTGGGCTCGAATGAACAAATTTAATTTAATTTATGAGAATAGGGTTTGGGTCTCTTTCTTTCAAAATGCTTTCTATTTATTAAGTTAAATAAAAGCTGATATTTTTTTACTTATTACAAAAGATTAGTTATTAAAAGAGGAATACTTTGTGTTGTGCTAAACATTTGTGCATTGAAAGAACATAATGTTGATAATAAAACTGAAACGATTAATCGAGTTAATCTGATTAATCGATTATCAAATCAATTAATCGTTAACAGACACTCTAAAATGTTTACTGAAAGAACAACAAACTCAGCAGCAATTAAGTCATAACTGTACAAAAATATCAACAAAAGAAAAATTGTAAATGTTCTACCCAAAACTTTTCATGTGGCAACTTTTTAGCTTCACCTGGTTCAGATTCTGTAAAAAATAAATCTCTTATTAAGCGCCTTTTGCTTTCTAATTCCTAATTTGTTAATCCCCAAAATAATAAACAGATTAGCCATACACTGTATTGATTATAAGTCAACAGCTTTTCACATGTTGATGTTAGTATATTTTAGCTCCTTTGATACAAATAATCAATCATTCACTAAAGGAATGTTGTTTCATTTTAGTTAATAATATGTTTATTAAAAAGAAATGAATTATTTGTTTATTTGCATCTTTTCATGTATGGTGCAAACAAGCTTACATGAAAAATCTGCAGTGTGGCAAATTTTTTATCCGATTAATCATTAGAATAATTTGTATCAAAAACTAAAATAATCACTAGTTGCAGCCCTAATTATGTTTGTAATAATTTTACCCTGACTAGAGATAAAAAGTCTCTATCTGCATCAATTACCTGTGCTGGAAGGGTCACTTTTTTACAATTCTTGCAGTTTGGGACCGCATAAAATCAGTCCAGCGGCCAGAAGTGGGCCCCGGGCCGCATATTGGACATCCCTGTGGGAGGGGTTTGGTGATAGTTTTTAGCTATTACCCACAGTTGTATTGAAATGTTTTAATTAATGAGTAAAATGTTAATTTTAGGGCTGCAACTATCGATTAATCTAATAATTAATCGATTAATCATGTAAAGAAAATTGGCACATTCTAAAGATTTTTCATTTAAAAAATTAAGCATATTTTCATTCAGTATTAGAAATACATTAAATGATGCAAATAAACACATGATTCCTTTTTTAAATAAGAAAATAAACATTTAATTGCTTTAGATGCAGGAACACATCATTCCTTTATTGAATTTGAACCAGGTGGAGCTAAAACTACGGCGCTTTAGGAGATTTGAGTAAAACATGTTTACACAACAAAGGTGTTTTTTTTTTATTTAAATGCAAAATGCATATATTTTTGTACAGTTTTATCTTAATTACTGCTCCGATCATGTAGAATTTAAAGCAAATTGTTTACCTCCATTAACAATTAATTAATTACTAAATAAGTCGAAGATTACTTCAATAATAATAGAATAATAATGATGAACGTTTATTTGTATCGCATGTTTTAGCAACAGAATAGTTCAAAGATCATAGAGTCACCTATATGATCAATTATGAAACCGATTAATCACGATTAATCATTTCCAATTAATTTAGGTTTTAGCCTAATTAAGCAACTTGTTCAGAGATAATTTTTTAAATCAGATGAAATTAGGTATTGAATATTTAATTGTATGTCCTAATTGGTCCTAATCAGCTCTCCTGTTCTGGGAACATGAAGTAGCCAGTTGTGTTTTCTGTTCGCAGCATTCCCAGCAGGATCCCTGCAGCAGGCATATGTTACTGATGACTACTCTAACCTTTGCCCCTTGCAGCTGCCTACAGATAGTGGTGAGATGTTCTCCACATGCACGCAGTGTTGCCAGGGTTCATGTGTAATGTGATCTGCTCGAGTTTCCAAGTCCACCCACGCACACTCCTCGGGGCAGCCTGCTGCCCACTCTGCTGGTGGGTGGTTTCTTACAGGGAGAAACAGCAGCAGCACCCGCAGCAGCAGCCGTTGACGTGATACTATTCTGCATGTACTACACACACACACACACACAGCAGCCCCAGTGACAACAACAGTGGAGCTGTGATGTGAAAGGAATGCTGAGAGGAGGAAATCCACGGTGCTGCTGAGTGTACACTGCTGATGCTACTCCTGAGTAACGCGCTCGCTCTTCTTCTGCTTTCCCTCGCCATAAGGGAGAGATCCAGAGATCATGCTCGCGGACGGTGGCGGAGAAAGTTGGCGAACAGTGCCAGGTGGCGTGCCACTGTAGGAGATACCCTCCCCTCCCTCCGCCTCCGCCTCCTCCACCGCCTCCTCGGCTTCTGGGAACCACAGGTAAGAACTCGAAACCGCTCGGTTAAAGAACTGGTTCATTTTCTTTCACGTCTTTTTATTGATTTGTTTAGAAATATTTTGATAGATATGGCACAAAATCATGTGGAGTTGTCAAATTTTGACAGATTCTAACCCACAAAGAAGTCAAACAGTGCAAAAATACAAAATCTTACCAGGTATTTTGGGTCTAATTTCAAGTATTTTGGAAAATAAGACAAAACTAACTCAGTAACTTTTCAGCAAGATATAGGATTGCATAAATAATTCCTTAAGTACTTGTTCCACTGGCAGATTGTTTAATTTTTTAAATGAACAATCTGGAAGTAGTACTTTTTCATCATTATTAAGGAATTATTGATTTAAAACAAGTTGCTACATCTTGCTGAAAAGTTACTTGGAAGTTAGTTTTGTCCTCCCAGCTTACTAAGATATTTACACTAGAAACTTGATGAAAATACCTGGTAAGATTTTGTTTTCTGCAGTGCAATGGCCAGGCCAATACACTGCAAAAACACAAAATTTTACCAAGCATTTTTGTTTAGTTTCTTGTGCAAATAACTTAGTAAAAATAAAATAAGACAGAAAACGACTTACAAGAAACTATCCAGATGTATATAGAAGCTTGTTTTAAGTAAATAACTCCTTAATATCAATTTAATTGGCAGATTATTTCACTTATGACATGGAAAAAAAAAAATTTATAAGTGAAATAATCTGACACTGGAACTAGTGCTTTTAGAATCAATATTAAGGAATTATTAATTTTAGATAATCTCCTGTATCTTGCTAAAAAGTTACTTGTAAGTTAGTTTCATCTTATTTCAAGTGAACTAAGACATTTGCATTAGAAACTAGACTAAAGATACTTGGGAAGATTTTGTGTTTTTGCAGTGTTCGTCCTGATGTCGGTTTTGCACCAGTTCGTCCTGCAATAAACGCCTACACAGCATAATGCTACCACTCCCGTACTTTACAGCTGGAGTGCATGTTTCCATTTTTTACCTCTGAATGTAACAATGATCATTATGACCAAACAATTCAGTTTTAGTTTCATCAGACCACAGAATGTCTCCAAGAATCAACTGCAAGATGTAAGCTAGCTTGGTTAGTTTTGTCTTATTTCAAGTGTATAAACCAAAAATACTTGGCAAGACTTTGTGTTTTTGCAGCATGGACCTCAAGTAATACAACAAGTTTAAGGAAACTGTTTGGAGCTTTTATGTTTTTGTTTGGGGGGGGGAATGTACCATCAGCCCCCCTGAGATTAGTGCAATGAGTGCAGTTTTGCACTCTTGCATCTGTGCATGTAATAGAGCCAGCAGGATGCTGACAGCTGAACACAGGACTAATTTATGCTGGGTCTGACTTTAGGGAGTACCCAACTGTCTGAGAAATCCAAGCCTGCTGGGCCGCCATGCTCAGAGGTTCAGTGGTAGGGTTTTCCCCGTGAGGAGCCCCGCCGCCACTGATCGTAACACAAAGGAGTTCGTTTAATTCGCTAATAAGGTGCTAATGAAACAGTGCTGCAGTTCCACCTTCAAAGTTTAGCCGGCAGCATGAAGAGACCATGTTGGAGCTGTTGCACACTGGGCTTTTACAGTACATCTGTGCTGATCTACTGCTGGTTGCGGCAGTTTTCTCCTCATGGGGCCGAATCGTCTCCCACTGTGAAGGTTTATCAGCTGGCGGAGTGAAAAAACCAGCAGAAACCAGATATTAACACAAAACTGTACTGAAGCAAGAGTAGCACTACTTCAAAACATTTTACTCAAGGAAAAGTAAAAACGTGTTTGGTAAGAATGCAACTCGAATTCAGAGTAACTGATCAAAACATAATTTAATATTTAAAAATTACATCATCCGACTAATCAAAATATAAAGTTATGTGTGGACCTGTCAGAATAAATCATTTAATCAATTAATCGTACAATCAGGGTTTTTTTCTCTTTTCTTTCTACCAAAAACTGGATGATTAAACTCTTCAGTCTGGTGCTTTAGTCTAAACTTATCCATTTTTTAAAAGACAATTTTGTTGACAAAGACTTCATAATTTATTTTATTTGAACAGGAATGATATGAATTCACCCTAAAAGAAATACCCAAGCATTTGGAAATAAATGATCGTGTTTCATCTTGTTTATCCGAGCATTTCTTGTTAAAAGTTTATATGATTATATGATCTCAAGCATCCAGAAATCAGAGCGTTGAAATATGGAGCTGATGATGCAGCCCTTCTGCGCTGCACTTTGGAATCACTCACCTCTTATCCCCGAGAAAACAAGAGCACTTAATCAGTGGGTAGGAAGGTTTTAATCTATCACTCCCAATGATTTTCTTTCTGTCCGCTCAATGTAGATGGATCTCTTCCCCGCACTCCCCACCCCGAGAGTTAAAAATCAAGAGTTATAGACCCTTCAGTGCTTGTTGTCAAGGTCACTGCATGAGTGCTGCCACGGCCATCTGACTGCAACCAAAGGTGGGGGTTTGGACGCCCAATTGTGCCCAGTGACTCATTTACCTTGTGCTGCATCCGCATGTTTTCAGCGTCCAGCAGCAGCAGCACATCATAAAAAGTATAAGTGGTCCAATTTATATTCTCCCCTAACTTAACACAGAACTGTTTGCAGTAGGTGGAGACAGCATGAATAATTTATTTTAAGAGAGGGCTTCTTTTTTCTTTTTTTTTACTACAGAGAGGCATAATTATCTTGATATTCCCTGTGTAACCTGATTTGAAGAGGTCTTAGAGCTGAAGTTCTGTAGTCTTTAAAAATGCATAGAATATGCATGACCGACATGAAAAACTAGGACAATGACTGGGACCATATCTGTCTGCCAAAAGGAGGTAATAAAAGGTTGGAGAATAAGAGTCTGTGTGCTAAAAATGGTTAATTCAAAGGACTGGAGTCTCGTCACGCTGCGGTAGATCCTTAACACCGGCTGAATTAGAGCCTTCAGCCGGTGACAAAACGCAGGATTAAAATGAGAGTTTGGCAGAGAAGAGCTTTTAAATTTACAGCGACTTATGACAGAGCCATCACTTCACTCCGGGGAAATGAGCTGCACTGGAAAATCAAAACTTGGAGAAGAAGTATTTGTTGTTTTGGCTTAAAAAACATCATATTCAGAGTTATTAGTTTATTGTTTAGGCTGTGTGATGTATTTCCAAGGTGATAAAGGTGATAAACATTTGCAGGCGACTTGAATGAAATTCTGCATGATGCGTAGAGAGAAGCTGGAGTTGCTGATGCACGTAACGTTACACAACATCCCGGTGAGTGGTCCGACTCCACAGATCTAATGTGGAAAGAGCAGGAGGTTCTTGCAACGGTAATTGGTGTAGACAAGAGTGCTGGTGTAAGGGGGGCTGACGGGTCCCTAAATGATTCATGGTGTCAGGCTGGATATCTCTGAACACTGAACCCAAGACCTGCAGAACCGGCAAGGACACAAGAGCATCCCTGCTGCTCACCTATTGGTTTGGGTAAAAAAAAAAAAAGCTTAAAAATTAAAATATTTTATATGGTATCTGCATTTTGTTTAGAGCTGAAATGATTAATCGTGATTAATCACGATTGTTGAAATAATCATCAACTTATTTAGTAATCAATTAATCATTGACTGACTCAGAAAAATGTCATTTGGTGAAAGAACAACACAGTCAAAGCAGTAATTAATTCAAAACTACAAAAATATTTACATTGTTCATTTAAAGAAAAACTAAAGAAATTCTGTAAAAAAAAAATCCTGATGAGCACATTTTAGTATTAATCGGTAAATCCCAAAAACATTCAACAGATCAGCCCTAAAATGTACTGATGTTAAGTCAAGCTGATGCTAAAAGTATTTTTTTTAGTTTTAGATGTATCCTTTGCTACAAATAATCACCAAAGGAAATCTATGTTTTTGTATTTTAGACAGCAAAATGTTTAATTTCGCATCTAAAACACAAAAATAACACTAATATTATAAATACATTGTAAAAAATAATGTTTTCCAGATGTTTTTCAAGCATTAACATAGAATAAGCCTGTGTTTAAAGAACAATTTGTAGAATGTTAAATCGATTAATCGTCAGAATTAACCGATTAATCGATTGCAGCTGTAATTTTGCTTAATTTTCTCTCTCTTTTCTCCATTTTGTCAGTGGCAGAGCCCATGGTGCCGTTGTTGAGGCCCTGGTGGATGGAAGTGGACGTTATAGTGCTTGGGACAGTGAGCTGTGCCTCAGTCGTCTTCCTCCTTTCTGCCATCATCATCTGCTACAAGGCTATCAAAAGGTTAGAGGAAGCCTTTTTATCATGCAAAGCACCTTGCAGCTGAAATGCGGTATTCAAATTGTTTTTGGTAACACTTTATTTGACGGGGTGTGCATCAGACTGACATGACACTGTCATAAACATGACACCTGTCATGAAGGTGAACAAGTCTTTATGAATGTTTATGACTGCTGTCATGAAGTGTCAGTCGGTAAATAATGACACTTTTAATGCAAAGTTGACCATTTTAATGGACTTTTAATGCAACTTTACATTAAAAGTGTCACTATTTACCGTCGTAAACATTCATAAAGACTCGTTCGTCTTCCTGACAGGTGTTATGTTTATATCAGTGTCATGGCAGTCTGATGCACACCCTGCCAAATAAAGTGTTACCTTGTTTTTCAATAGATACGGGAAAATCATTTATAATATAACATTCTCGTGTCCGTGAAACATTAAAAACCATTTTGCATGTCGTTATGTGGAGTGAAATGGTCAGTTCAAAAGTCAGGAATATGGTTTTCATCATTTATTCACTTATTTACTTTATTTTAGCTGCATCTAAAACAAACTTTGGTTGTTTGACAGGATCCTGAAATCAACTCGCAGTTGTTTCTTTATTTTCCTCTCTTTCTCCCATCAGTTTGTCTAAAAATGTATCCTCAGTACCAAAAGTTGCTCCGTTTTGTGTATCTTATGTTGATGTTACTCTTTGTTGCTTTTGGACAATTTTGATTTTTGCTTTACTTTGTTTTTGTTTATTCATTTATATGCCTCTGTAGCCTCTATATCTTGCTGAAAAGTTACTTTCAAGTTAGTTTACTTGAAATAAGACATTTTCACCAGAAAAAAGACCAAAAAACTTGGTAAGATTGTGTTTTTGCAGTGTAATCCATTTAATTTATGGTATCTGTTGTGTGTGGTTTTTATCTCTGTTTTATGAATCGTTTTTGGTTATTTATTATGGATATTTAACATATTTCCCAGTTCCAGTCTAGAGTCCTTCAGAAAATTAAGATTTATTGATTTTTGAGAGGACGAACTTGCATTATTACCCCATTATCATCATATTAATTGAAGATTGTCAAAACAACAATATTATCGTTTATTGCAATAATTTAAATTTATCGTCCGGCAAATTTTTCGTATTGTGACAGGCCTAAATCTAACAGATTTTTTTAAAAATGCTTTTTTGACCTTTGCCACTCTGCTGAAGGCACCGAAGTCACAAAGGTTACAATAATCAATCTAGAAGCCATTAAAAAACACCAGCTTGCTTCTGTAGTCTCTCAGTTTCTAGTTTTTCTGTCATTTCTCAAAGTGCAGACTGAGACGATGGAGAGAGTTCAAACGCAGATCAGATCGATTAAATAAAATGAATCGTTAAACAAACTGCAGCGCAGGCAGGAAATCCCACATCAACAGAGGAAAGCAGATCCATTTAATACACAGATGAATAATAATTTAGTATTTAGACAAAGACACATTACAGGTGATAATTAGAAAAACTGGGCCCAGAATAAAGAAACAAAACAAAATCCAAGTTATATAATTAAGAAGAGGAGATCCACAGGCCTGTTCTTCAGCGTGGCTAACCAAAGAGCAAACACAGCAAACAATATCGCTCGGAACAATTTCCATATGTGACTAATGCTTTGGAGCCGGCTTTGTGAATGTGAACAAAAGAGGCAAGAATTGGGATCCCAACACAAAGCGTTCTGAGCTTCCTTCCCATTCGGCGAATTAAAAGATAAAAGTTGAGCTTAGCGCCTGCAGCAGCAACAGATTCAGACTTTGTTTTCAGCCACGAGTGTCACACAAACTGTCTGACCTCCAGATAAACGTACAACCAAAAGTTGTTTACATCCTGCTTTTTAGTGAAATATATAAACGTTTCTCCTCTTTCTGCTTCTTTGTGTCACATTTATCTAATAAATTCATGTAATCAGAGAAAGATAAACTCAGTAAGTACAAAAAGTAGTTTTCAAATAATTTAATTGATTTTCTATTATCTGTTCTTCTCATGAGTTTTAGTTTTGCTTTATTTTAGGATTTATTCATCCCTGCTTTTAATATTCAGTTCATTCCTTTGAGATCTATTTTTTTTTTTTAATTTATAACTTTGAAAACCTCTTTTCTATTGTTTGGTTCTGTTCTCCTCACACCTTTTGAATCTTGATCATTTCTCCCGTTGTGTTTGTTTACATTTCTGTTTCCTTGTTTCTTGTGTTATTATTATTATCAAGTTTATTTGTGTTGCAGTTTCAGCAACAAAGCAATTCAAAGAACATGATAAAACTATAACACAGTAAACAAATAAAAAGCATTAGATTTAAGTGGCTAAATAAAGAGAAATGATAACTTGCAATCCGGAGTATAATTAATCTATTTTCCAGTTATTAGTAGTTACAGGATAATAACTGGGAGCTCTAAGCAAATGGGTTTTTCATTTGGTGTTTTAGTTGTTTTTTTGCAGTTTTCTGGAAGTTTGTTCCAGTTCTTTTAGCCCTCCTGGATGAGTCACTGATGGGCTTTTGGAGTAATTTTCACATGCCACTTCTGGGAAGGTTTCATGTTTCTCTATCTGGAGATGATGGCTTTCTCTGGGGTTCGCTGGAATCCCAAAGCTTTAGAAATGGCAGACAGATGTCAGTCTGTTTCTTGTCTGTGTTTTCACATCTGACGCTACAGTAGACTCGGTTGGACTGGGAATCGAAATTGCTACATTTGTTACATTTTCAGCTGCTGAGGTTTAATTTCACTGCTCTGTGTCAAACAAACCAAACTGTTTGAAAAACCTGTTCCCCTCCTCGCCTGTGGAGGAGGAAGTGACACAAAAACCTCAAAAGAAGACATGAACGCAGCTTTCTTCTTCATGGAATGTCAACAAAAACGGAATGGCGTAAAATTTTAGCGGTTGTAGGATTTCTCTTTTGTCTCCGGTAAAAGATGATGAGCCTCTTCTCCCACTGGTGGTTCTACTTACCCAGAATACCCTGCTCTGTAGTCCACTTCCTGGTTGGCGTTCAGATAAGCATTAGCATCATGCCAGAGCTCACTTTAACCGAACTGAAACCTTCGTTTTTAGACGGAACAGAGTTTACTTTTTTGGTCGATTGATTGTTCACTCCTCCCCTAACGAAACGGACTTTCTAAAAAAAAAATCTGGAGTTGGATTAAAGCGGATTAAAGAGGGCTGGTGTGAACGCACCTTTAATTTTCAGAGCACATTTTGTATCTTTATAAGACATCTTAGCCTACGTCATGATCTGGGTGTAACATTTACTGTAGTTGTTTTTATTTTACGTTTTCTCTCTTTATAAATAAAATCATAATTTTAAACCTACTTTTGGTATTTACTCAGGTTTATCTGATACTACAGGAGGTTAATTGATGTGAAACAGAAGAAAACTGTGACTAAGCAAAAACATAAATGCGCTCATCTCTAAACAAACATCTAACACGCATACATGCATAATTTGGCAGATTTACACTCTTAATAAAACATGGAGCAAACATGGATCTCACACTTCACGTGAGAACGGCTCTGAGGCTTTAAATTAGGGGCTGTTCTCTAATTTATTTATGCAATTTTAAAGATATTTACTTTCATTCCTCTGTATATTTATGGACGTGTATTAAGTGTGCTTCCCTCAGCAGAAATCTATTCCACCTCCTCTTTATTTAAAACAACAAATGGGCAAAGTCAGGGCGTGGAAGTAATGGGTGGTTGGCTCAGGAATTCATTAAGGCAATCCTCCATCCTCCCGTAGCCAACAGGCACCATTTTTAATGCAGCAGCGGTAAGAACGTGCCGTCGCAATACGAGCTGGGGCTCCAAACCCAAGCCATTATTTATGGATTAATTTGCGCAGTCATTCAGTGGCAGACCACATCTTTTATACATGCAAGAAGCAGGTTGTGTCCTTAAGCTGCGAGGCTCCAGACTGCAGGCTTCATCATGCACGGCTCCAGACTGCGTCATTACGCATTCATCAGTCACCAGCCGCGAGGTGAGCTGGTCAGGTTAAAGTGTGACACCATGAGCACGCTGATCGTCCAGAGGAAAGGACAAATGTGATGCGTTTACTGAGCAGGGGCGTGTCTAGATTTCTCTCTGTGGGGGGCCACAGACTGTGGCACAATAAATATACAATTTAATCTAAATTTAATGCAGTTTTAGATTGCAATGGACATTTATTTACCCAAACAAAACACATGAGTCTGTTTAGGATGAGAAAACTATGAAGTAGATTTGTTGGTTACAGTGGCAGTGTTTTCCAAAGTGGAAGCATCAGAAATTTGAAAGGAAGATGAGAAAAAAAATCTTTAAATCAGACATTTTCATTTTAAAAAAAATTCTATTTTTCAGTCATTTTTATAATATATAAATTAATGTATCTTACTGGAGACTGAAATGGAAAAATGAAATAGTCTTTATTTTTATTTGTCATTTTCATCTTTGATTGGCTGCAAGTCAAATTTCATCAAGTTGCTTTGAAATGACAAGAAAAATATGAAAGGAGGAAACGACTAAAAAACCTAAACTGCAGCGATTAAATATAATTGTATGGGATTAGTAAATGGTATAAAAATGTTACATATTTTCTTATCAAAAGAGAGGATAGTGGTAGAAAATGTTATTTTATAAATTTTACATCAGACTAAAAAAAGTCATCATATATTTCCTGATAAATTTTCCAACACAGAACTCATAGCCAAGTAAAATCAGAAGGAAGCATTTATGCTAGATAATTATTGAATGATAAATAAAAGTGAGAAAAAAATATGTAAAGATAATTCAATGTTTCTTTACATAATTGCAGAATTGTCTGGAAAAACTTGGGAACGCCGAGGCTAATTTTTCCTGCCTGTTAGCTTAGTATCGCTTAACTGGAGTATAGAGACTCAAAAAATGCCATTTGCTGAAAAAACCATCATTAATCATCAATCGCAGTAACACAATCTGCTTGTGTGGAATTAACAGTAATCTAATTCCTTCCTTTGCAATTATAATCCCTTATTTCACTCGTTACTTGAAATTAGTGAGCTTTTTCACGC